TGCTGTTCTCTGACGTTGCTTTCCTATACTCTACAAACCATAATGCATCTGTGAACTTTGGTTTTTGAGGTATCATTGTTGCTCTTCTCATGACGTGGAATAACAGCTATGGGAACAGACCCTTACTTAAAATGCAGGCATTTTCTCATTTTGAGGACGTGCATTTACTACGTTTGATTGCGTTAAAGTGATCGAGTAATGAAGACAGGTGATGTAGAGACTTATAGTGTATTCTCTGGCAACCTCTATATTACTCCCAATACGTCCATCGCAAAGATTTTTTGAGGAATTTTTGTTTTTTTTATCTCAATTATTTCTCGATTGAGTACGTCTGAAGATGAGCTTTGAGTGTGGGTGTGGGTGTACGATATTGATCTCTTCGAGTAGTCGTTTCTTTCTTGTTTCATGAATTCCACGCACTAACCAGTCTTTCAAGGGTACGAATGTTGAGTGCGAGTGAAGGGAGTGTGTGCATGGAATAGTTGTGAATGAATAGAAGCAGTACACCTGCACATCCACACTCTAAAAAGTCACTCATCCTTTTTCTTATTGCCAGATAATATTAATTATTCGGTGCATGCATCTGTAAATCTCTTCACCAGTTCATGTCCAATAAGAGACAAGCATTGGTGATAGTAGAAATCTAGTCTGAAATCTTGCTTTTTCTCCTTTGTCTAGTCTGCACTGTATATAATTGAAAATTCAGGTACAACAAACTTTTTAGAGGAAAGAGATTAAACACCTATTGACAAAATGGTGTCTTTTCAGTTAAATTAAGAATTGAATATTTCTGCTTCAGTGATTATCGCGCCTAAATCTGCTAAGAATTAGACTACTCTTATAAGTCTTTTGAGAAGCACAAAATATGAGCTCAAATTCAATGGAATACTTCCAGAGAATCATTCTCTGTATCTTTCGAATATCGTTCAGTAATGTAACACCTATGGAAACAGAGTTTTGAAATTCGCATTTTCCTCTGCCAGAATTGAATCGAAGATAGTGGATAAAAAAGTACTAGATGCAAACGATACCCAATATGCTTCATTGTCTCCCTGTGCTTTCGCTAACTAGCTATCCGAAGTTGCAACTCTAAAGTTTGACTTTGATTTGAAATATGTCGATATTTGTATTGCGAAAGAAATACCGATATCAAGCAAAATTTAATTTCATAACATGTCTTTAAGAAATCGAATTTCGTTTATTGTTAAAAAATTTATGCATGCATCGTAATCTTTAACTGTTAGGATTCCTTTTCTTATTGAACAAGTAGGTATCATGACGAAAATGCTGATCTTGTTCCATAAAATTGTTATCTTATTCATTTTTTTCTGTACATTTTCAAGCACAGAATAAGGATGAGACAAACGAGAAAAGAATGATTCAGGAGAATTTTTTGTCTTTTTGTTATTTTTGCACTTAGCAACCGTTGTCGATTGAGTGCTAATCTCCTCCGTTGGCTCTGCACTTGCAATACAGATAGCCGAAACCTTTACAAACTTCCTTAACACTATTCACACCAGGGTTTTTCTTAATACAATTCTCTTCACATTCATCGGAATTGGTTGGTCATTTACACGAGCCAGCTTCTGTTTGATCGGTTGATGAAAAACAAAGAAGACTTGAAAAAATGTTGACTCATTCAACAGTGACACTTAAAGATTTGATCAGCAACAATTAGGACCAGTAAGAAATTGACGAGAAAAGTACGAGCCATCCTGGATGCTTCGAATGATGTGGTTATAGATCAAATTAATTGATGATAAGACAGATTGTATGAATTAGATTTCAAAATTCTAAATCCATCACTATTTATATTTATATTGTACTAAGAGAAAGAATACGTATCGGCATTAATTTCAAGTATGCAATCAAAATTAAAGTTGCATTTTTCTCTATAGATTGATTCAAGCGAAAGTTCACAAGCCGTGTTTTAATTGAGGAGTCCTCACTGAACAGTATATTCATGGATATTATGCATGGTATCATGAAATATCAGTGCAGAAATTTTATTAAATAAATTCATCAATATTCTCGTGGCACTTTCATTACACTAGACAACTCTATCACGCATAAATGCATTGTACTTTACATCTATTAAGTTACAGATGGATTCGAATTTCTCCGTTATTATTCATTCTTAAGCTGGGTCGAATTCATTCATGACTGTTCCTTATGTATTATCGAATATGCCGCTGTATTATACAACTTGCAAGAACATTCATTGAGAATTTTCTGAATACTATTAAGATGCAGGTGTGTGTATGTCTAGAGTTTGGTGGGTGTGACAAAACTAAGGTGCAGGCAATTCAAACTTCGAGCAAAATTTTTTTTCGTATTTTTTTATATCGTTTGATAGAGTGGTAGCTGCTGATCACGAAAATCTACTTTTTAGCCTTAGCAAATGCCTCCTTCCGGTTGAAAAATACGAAATACTACAAGAGTGTCGTTTTTTCAGAAAAGACATTTTTTGCAAAAATGTGCCAAATTTTCTACTTTGTTCTTTTTTCCAGCTTCTGAAAATAATTTTTTCAGATTTAGCATGAAAAACTGAATATAGACAAGTTGCTAAATCGACTCTAAACCGAAAACTCTGTTGGTGGTGGCAGTTCGAATCTCGTCGAGTGCACTAGGTATAAGTAGATTTTGTAAATCTATCTAGTTTTTCTGTGTGGCTGATGGAATCAAATCTTTTGTCTCATTCAATTCATCATACTATGAATCAAAAAAGTACGATTCGTTTTTTCTCTTATATCACTTAGTTCCTGAGAAAATCCAGTTTTCCAAAAATCTGGCCTAAATCACCTAGTATTTCTCGATTTTGTCGGTCAAAACGGAACTTTTATGCAATAAGGTGGTTATATTCGGAATCAGCGTGACAAACGCAATCGAATCACGTATTTTATATTGATTTTGAATGATTTCGGATTTTTTCGGTTTCTTATCGGAGACGGGAGTCTGCTTATTGGTTTTTCACAATAATTGAAGAAAATTTTTTTCCTTGAAAAACTAATGGAACTAAAACATGTCATCACCAATGAAGTAACGGGAGTAAAAAATTTTTGAGATTGATAATGGTACATTTCTAAATAGATATAATTGATATTTGTCCATTTAAATACATTCATTGTATCATTATGAGCATCGGTGTGGAGTGCAGATCATCTCTTCCCATACCCTCCCTTCTTACTATACTCATTCACTACGAACTAGATGTTCATCTGCTAAAGTTTCATCATCACTAGAAGAAATATCGGAACGATCAAAATATACGTATTAGTCTTAAGACATTCGAAAGAAGAATTTAGAGTAGTTGAGTGAGGGTATTAAATAGTGTACACCAAAGATCTTCATTGACACTGATATGTACATTCACACACCGACGACAAATTGTTCAATCATTATTTTTTGTGATAAAGAAAGGTTGTGTCAGTGTGTTATAACCCAGGTCGAATTCACCCTGTCGAATCCGATAGAAATTCGCCGGAATTTGTCGGAATCCTAACCACAGGATTCCGACAAGTGGTTCTGGATGTCGGAAAGTGTCGGAGTTTCAGGGATTTCGCAGGATCCTGATTATTCCGACATCCGGAACCTCCTGTCGGAATCCTGTGGCTAGGACGCCGACAACTTCCGACGAGTTCCCGTCGGATCCGTTAAAATCCGGTAATTTTTCCGATATAATCCGACGTAATCCGACAGTCGGATCGAATCACCTGGGAATATATATAGTAGCTAAATAAATGTATCGGACCTCCGGTAAATACTTCTAGATATACATTACTTTTGACTTTTAATATGAAAAACATTACTTGATGTCAGCAAATCCATTATGATTATGATCGAACTATATTATTGTTTAATCATGAATATAAACTAACTTAACTTTAGATTGTTGTTTGATGTTTCGCCTCACTTTGAATATTTCGAATAAATCTTTCTCTATTGTTGCGATCAAGTATTATTATTTTTAAAATAGTAAGCATTTATTGAATTTCAATCGAGCACATATTTCTAGTTAATTATTGAATACGAAATAGTATTTGCTGTATGCATAAGAAGTATATCATTCATAAGAAAAACGTAGTGCATCATTCATTTTATCACAACAAGACAGTTTTATTGCGTCCAATAAAGTATTTGTCCGTGACTATTTAACCACAAGAAAACATTAAACTGCAATGCGACTTGCTTTACTGGTGCAAATATGATTTGTTTCGTGAGACCATTAAGAGAAAAATGAATACGTGATAGGTATCACTTGATTATGAAATCGAACAGCATCGGAAATAAGAAGACAATACAAATATGGATGGCAATCTTTATGAAGCCATAGTAAAACTTCACTTAATTTATATGATGCTTTAAATTCATCAACGCAAGATTAGTTTCGATTATTTGACCAACAGAAGAAAAACAAGATGAGCTTGATTAGCAAGAGACTCTTTTTTTGTAATCTTTATTATACTTTTCCTATCAATAATAGAAATAAAAGATCGATGCGTCGATTAAAAGATAAACCATTATCATTCAGTTGTAATTCTTTTTCAACAAGTATCTTTATCCAGTTTTGTTAGAAATAAACTAGCTTCAATCCACGACAAAGATTCCAAATAACTACTTAATTGTTATTTGTTTGTTGTTCAATGAATAAATTTCAAGACGATGAGTTTTAGAAGCAGTTTCATCGGTTCAATCATTACATAACATACTGATCTACTCAGTTTTGTTTTTTGATTATCAACAATTGCTTTACGACTTCTGCTGGTTTTCAACATTATAAATTAATCTTCTTAAATAGCTAGACATCAATAAAAAAAATGCAAAGCAATACTAGAAAAACTTATTGAAATAATTAATGAAAAAAACATTTTGTTGTTGCAAACTTTTCTTTATTCATGTTATTTGATTTTTTTTAAAAACATTTTCCTTTCTTTAATGCCCATAGCAACATTAAAATGTTTGTTTGTTCTTGATAAAAAGAAAATGTCACAATTATAAAACTAACGGGGTAAAAGATTATCAAGATCAGCAATAGAATAAGCATATACAGCCCAAACAGCTGCTGCTAGGTCAACATCAGTTGAATTAAGTACATTCATTGTATCACCCTTCGAATGATGATATGCAAAATAATCCCAATTATCATTAAGAAGTGATGCACCAGGAACTCCATGTTGCATCCATGGTCCAATGTCTTCACCACCACCCCCTGACACCACTTGAGTTGCATTGATTGATGTCAATTGTTTTGATATGTTTTTTATAATCTAATTATAAAAGTTTTTCATTAGAAATATAAAGCCTTTTTCTTAGAAAACTAATTTTTATCTTACTTGTTGTGCTTCAGGTTTGCCTTGGAACTGCAAACCTTGTGGATGAAATACTCCAAGGTCTGATTCCATAACAATACTCATTTTCGATACTTCATTTTCATGCGCATTAAAATATTGATCAGCACCAACACCACCAAATTCTTCACATGACCATAGAACACATCGTATTGTTCGTTTAGCTCGAATATTTAATGAATGAAGTAAAGAAAGAACAGTCCAAGAAATCATTGCACCACCACCATCATCCATAGCTCCTTTAAAACAAAAAAATTCAAATAAAGAAAAAAATATGAACAATTTACCTTGACCAACATCCCAGCTATCTAAATGACCACTAACAAGAACAGTTTCATCAGGTAATGTTGAACCTTTTACTTCAGCTACAAGATTATAACCAATAACATCAGGCAATGTTTGTGCTTCCATATAGAGAAAAATTTCCATAGATTGATTTCGTTGTTGAAAACGATCAAGCATATCAGCATGTTCCACTGAAAGTGATCCAGCTGGAATTTTTGGATATGCTGGATCATATGCCATAACACCTGTATGTGGTGAATCAATTGAACGTGATGCAGCTGATCGACTAAGAGAAGCTAATGCTCCACATTTAGCTGCATGTGATGCTCCAGCAACACGATAACCAACAACAGGACCATAACAACCAAGTGGTTGTGTTTGCCAATCACATTGAGGATTAAAAACAACAATTTTATTTCGAGCTTCTTCACATCTTGCATTTAATTCATCGAATGATCGAACAACAAGTACAGGTGCTTGAATACCTTTTGGTCCCGTACCAACTGAATTACCTAAACCAAGCATTGACAATTTTGTATAACGGGGTTGAACCAATTGAGCGTGTTCTTCACCTCGTATCCAATGAGGTATTTGAACTTCTTCGATATGAACATTATCAAGACCTTCATCAATCATAGAATTTTGTACCCAATGAACAGCTTTAGTTAATGATTCATTTCCACATAAACGAGGCCCTATTGTATCAGCTAATGCTGCTAAACGATTATAAGTTACACCACGAAATGCACCTCGAGTAACTAATTCAATAATACGATCTGTTATCGTGTTTGATGATAAATAATTATTAATAGTAAATGAACGACTAGTTACACTTAGTATAGGAAATATAAGAAATAAGCATAACATCATTCTAGAGAAAAGAAAATTCATCATTATGATATGACAGAAAAAAAAAGAATTACATTCACTTTTAACAGATGTCTTGTCGCAAGAGCAGTATATTTGTTTTATTTTACTTACCTTGATTCTTTATCAAATGTCATAGAATGACTAAGTTATATTTATTATCAAGTCAAAAAATAAAGTTGTTCATTATCACTCTTCTCAGGCTTTTTTTAT